CAACTACCATGATCGAGAGCCAGCCGCAGCGAGCATTATTCATCCCAGAAACCTGTGAATTCGTTGGACGTAAGCTGCGCCGTGTCCGATGGCAAACTCCTAGCAATAACCTGCATGTTCCGGACAAAGTAGCAGGGGGCAGTTGGGACGACGAAAACAATGAAGTCAGTATTTGGCGTGTAGTTCATGCCGGGAAGACTGACGCCGATCGGTCTTCTACGATGATATTAGGCAAGGAGGACGCAGTCAAGCTCGTCAAATCTGCATCATTCCCCCTGTTCGCTGCCACGGAAGATCTCAAGTAAGAGCTCAAACTTGTATTATAATAGCTTAATAATACTTTATTCAAATCTTACTAGCTCGTTGTATTATATCAGTGTATCAGCTCTACTGAATTCATTTGTAGATTTGTTTCAGACAACATATCGAAACGGTTTATTGTCAGGGTCAATGAGCGGCGTCAAACAGACAGCGGTATATATTATTACTAGCATTAGTTAGTACAGTAGTCAGCATGCTACATACAAATACGAATAATACTTTACGTATAAGACTATACACCATACTTTGTCTCCTCGATGCATAGTTTCTTTCAAGCCGGACGAGTAGGAAGTCTGCAACTATTAACCGAACAAAGGATCGAGAACGGTGCATTATAACTACAATGTATGTTGTTTCTGAAGACAGTATTTATATACACTAGTAGTTATAGTATATAAATAGTTTATGCACATGGGTACTTGGCATCATCGTGCATTGGTTCATTCTAAGCGATGGCTGTATATTTACTGTATATTGTATGCAGCTGATAAAGGCTAGTGACATCAGCCGTAACCTTGATCCAGCATCAAAATATTTTACGCCACATGTATTACTAATGAAGTCATAATGCTGTGATACAATTCAGTAACCAGTTGATCGCGAAGACCTTCGAAGGGTCGACTTTTCGTACAAATTCTAGCTATCACAAGAACGTAACTCTGACATCTCGGATTGAGTGTCGTCCATCTTCAGGGGACATTAAATAACAACAATACTGCTGATCCATTTGACCTTTAAGAAAAACTTCACATCCAGGTACATAATCCACCCCTCCTTAGGCTATAGCAACTAAAACAGCAACTGCTTTTCAGCATCTGTTCCTCATTTCATGCATGTACAATATTGATCAAAAAAGAGAAATTATTATTTTCATTGTGTTGACTTTATTGCAGTTTCTCTCTAACTTTCGCTTCAAAATTACTGGGATCGATTAAAGAACGAAGCGAATGACCATCGTTGGGAAAGGCAGTTGATTTATGGCACAAGTTATTTGAGCAGTCTTCCAACCCGCACGACAGTTTCGTTGTCACAGTCTATCGCCAGCACTTTGAAGCGAGTAAATTCGATTTACAGTGGCGTTTGAAGGTCATTTCCAGTCGATCATCTGAGTCATGTAGGTTGTCATCGTCACCCGAGATATCGAGGTTAATGACCGCGTACCTAGCTTAATGACGTCTGACCCTTTTGGCTTCTCAAAAATGATTTAGACGATGTTGTTGGCTGCGGCAGAGGTCATATTCATTATAACAAGTAAGTCCGTATGTAACAGCTGCTTTAGAGTACGGTGCATGCCTTCGATGTGTTTGCGGATATACTTTGCTTCCCGGAAGAGAGCTACCGTTTCTCGCGGTAGACGGTGGTTCCTGACATCTTCAGTCACCGTTCACATGTCATTCATCTCCAAGATCATTTCATCTGGATCATAAGTTTTTCACATGTACACAAGAAGTGAAGCACGAGAAGCAGCGTACACGAAAGGGGAGGGGGCTTGAGGTAAAGCAACCGAGGGGAAAGGGGCGACAGTGCGCTTGACAATAAATTCCAACAGTTGCTACGACAGCACGGAACGCCACCGAACGCATACATCAATGCAGAGAAAAAACTCTCATTAATGCGTTTAAAACCAAATCAGCAGAATGTTTTTTAACACATGGTCAGGATACCCAAACGGGAAAAAGTGGTAGTTGTTGTGGACGAACCGATAAAACTAGTCCAGTGGTGGTTTACAGTATTCATACGAAGCGAAGTTGAGTCTCTTGGGGGGGGGTTAAAGTTCTGAATGATACTGCGTAGCTACAGGACACCGTACGTTCTGTAGAGAGACGGATCAAGTACGATTCAAAACATTTGAGAATACGTATGTAGCAAATCTGTTACGCAGTATCATTCGTAAATAATTTTTGGTATTTTATACTTTAATAATGAGCATAAGAAATTTTCCAGTTCAACAACTGAGGACAAAGTTTCTAAGTTATCAGGGTCCAAATTTCTGGTCTACTTTTAAGGGAAATACAGAACATGAGCGGCGATGGTTCGTGCGATTCTGATCATCGCCAGAAACTGTCGATAACGTCTAGATGGTTTTCAATACAGGCAGATATGCAATGCAATATCTTGTGATCAGAATATGTCGCATAATTGTTTTGACCTAAATGTCCGCTCAGAAGAATACCGTCGTTACTATCCGCGATTCTTTAGTTGAAGCTCATGTATGAGACCTATGCGACTAACCGAAAATAGTTTTGTTCTTTTCTGAAGCAAAACGAACTGCTTAAGCGAATCAATTAGGGACTTTCTATTTTGCAGGTTTCTGAGTAATGACCATCTACTGGTCAGCACTAGCACTGGAGATGTGCATTATTTGGCGTACAGTGAAACGAGGGACGAGATCCAAGAAAAATGCGTATTACAGCGACTCCACGAAGGAGCATGTACCGCGGTTTCGCTTCTTAGGTAAGTGAAGTTGCTGATACTGAGGAACGGCGATCGTTTGATGCACTCACATACCAATGGATGTTTTCTAGTGACTGCAGTATTGTGTCCGTTGGAACCGAGGGGCACTTGCAGGTGACAGACCTGAACAGTGCAAAGATGCTGCTACGCATAGGCGAAGAAGCGTTTCAGTGCAACGATGGCTTTTCCAGCATGCAGGTGATCAGCGCTGGGCTGGTGATTACTGGAAACTATATGGGTCAGATACAGGTGTGTGAGTAACTGGTGAAATGCCAAGTGATAATAAGCACTGATGCATTAACTTGAAACCAACTGACCGACATGTTGCTCAGCACAGCACAGTAAGCCTTTTTATATATCCAGGCAAGTCATGTGCCATAATGGCGTTGAGCCATTGTCCGCTTAAGAGATAGATCCCCATACGCCTCTA